CCGGCAAAACGTCTGGGAATTCACCACCTCCACCGTCTTACTCTGGAAATGATGATGCATACAATGGACTCCGGACAAGGTACGTTCCTCTAAGTCTTCCTACCAATATGACTGAGTTGCAAAAACAAGGTCAAACAACTTCTATAACAATTTCTTGTTTATCTTAACCTATTTTAAATCTATTCATACTCCCCACTGGTTTCCACGTCCCCCCTATTGTGCCGTAAGTGCCGATCCAAGGTTGCGGTTTAATTCACACTCTTCTCCCTTCTGGTCCTATCAAAGTCCCCCTCTTGCTCCGTAGGATCCTTCCCTTATCTGTCTGTTTAAAGGATCTCACTATCGCTGACACTGTATCCGTGCTACTCAAGGCGTTATGTTCTGCACTGCCTCAAGACTTTGATAGCACGTATAATTATGCTTAAGTGGGTGTTAAAACATTCATTCCTTATATGGCAATATATATATATATTTCCATCATTATGTGTATATATAGTACGTAGGATAGAGCAAGACAATCTGGTACGGTCTATCATGAACTTCCATATGAAATGTAATTCTTCCCAACAACGCTAGCTCAAGAGATTCATCAAAACTAAGTCACTCTTCATATAAAGGGACAAAGTCTGCTATAAAAAATAGGTCGGATTGCAGCCGGCCCCCTTGTCTTAGAGTATAGTTTTCTGCTATGATGACATCTCTCACTCAGGCGAAGTCTCCGCCCGGATTCACTAGGGGCTGGGTATTATGCACCGAGGACTTATAGGCACAATTCTACAGTCAAAACTTCAAGGCAATCTCTCTGCATATAAAGAAGACAATTTATGAACCCTTCTCACCCGGCTCCTTAAGCGGAGGAGAGGTATGCACGCGTCAATTTTGAATAATGTATCATCCGATATCCTAAGCCCATTGCGAATGGTTGAAAAAGGAATTTACCGGTGTTCATGCTTTCTCCGCTTTTTTTCAGGTACATGGGTCGGTTGATAAGCAAATCTCGTTTACGTAGCTTGACGCCTCTCCTCAGCAAATATTACCCGCAGCTTCTGCTTACTCAGACATACATAGAATCTGGAGTTACAGCCAGCGAGACTGGCCAACAGCGGCATCCAAATGACCAGGTGCTTATCAGTCCCGACCGTATAACTGACGGTCGAGATGAAGCTTCTTCGAGTGGAAAGAGCACTCGCCTTTCTGCCACCGAATCGACCATGTCAATCGACGGCGACGCTTCGGCTTTTGAGGGTCAGGCCTCTTCTGGATCTGCTCTGGGGCGTAGCATCCTTGAACGAGCAGCAGTCGAGCATAATATGCTAGCAGCCAGCTTGATATATAATAATATCAGCCTGCATAATCTGGGTGGCCTTTTGGAGATCTCTTCGGAAGAAGTAAATGTTTATCTTAATTATCTGAGTGCATTACATTATATACAGCAGGATTTTTTCACCTTGTTTGCCTATGAAGACTGACAGTCCACTGTATATTTAAATAGGTAGTTTTTTTATTAAACGTGTACTATTTATGATAGCTCATCATCTATTATCTAAATATGCTAACTATTTAAATGGAAATCATACATTTTTTTATTTAAAAATCTTCACTTATTTAGGCCGAATCCATTGCCGCTAGAATGATCGGAGAAGGGCGTTTAGCCGGACAAATAGATCAAATAGATGGTGTCATTCATTTTGAAGGTAACTTCACTTTTTATTTAAATCTATCCTTTGCTTTGACTCACTGAGGCGCAACTTTGGTAAAAACAATATTAAATAACAAATTATGTATATGTGGTTAAAATTCAGTTAAAACTCCATAACTATATATCAATAAGACAGGCTTATCCTTTTCCGTTGCAGTAACTCCATACGTTTTCTGTGAAAAATGCGCTGCAGTTTTTCCATTCTCATGCTTTAAGGCTGGAATTCCTTTATCTCTTTCCTCAGCCTAATCCTAAGTGCTAAAATACTCCAAATAAGCTTGCATTTGGCTATAATTATGTTATATTTCAATGCTAGCTCTTAAACTGAATGCATTCTATAATATTTAATCACCATGTTTTGATTTGATCTATGACTCGCCATTGTCTTGTTTGTTACCGGCAAAACTTGCAGGCTTTTCCAGCTAACGCAATTTCATTCTTTCTATCTAGCCTGATGACAAGGTCCCCACCAATTCATTGTCTCGTAATTGCATATACCAGAATGAAGTGAGTCTTATAACCGTCTCTCGGCTCCATATTTATGTCTTTTGGAGAATGAATCTAAGCACACAATAACTTGTTTTTTCAGGACGATATTAAAGACTGCTGTCCTCTTGACTTCGATTGAGTAATTTACTATAAAGGCCATACCCAAATTTGGTTGTCATTTGATATTACGGTGCCTTTCATTTCACCTGAAGAGGTGGGTGGAAGCAATTCGTAAGTTGGTCTCGGTGGAAATGGAAGGGAAATATACCGTGAATGTAGATTTGTACGAATAAGTCATGAACTTATCGTCCCGCGACCCCGATGAATATTTGCTTAGCGTTCGTCCGTCATGTGACGGACATCTTCAGAGTAGAACACCATGCATTACGAAAGGTGGCCAGGTGCAAACTTACATACTTCCTATAGCCTAATTTTGTCCACTTAATGAGGCATCTCATGACTTGGTTAGCTATCCTATCCTTTGCTTACATACTTGCTGAAGAGTAAAGTGGCTGCAGATGACATGTTAAGTGGTTACATGTAACGCGTGAATCAGATACATTTGTCATCAAATGGCTGCATCTTCTAATTCACTTATACTTTGATCCTGCAATATTAACTTGTGTGATTGCGTTCCATTATACGTGCATTGTGGGCATTATGTGCATACAATGATGTTGAGTTGAGTAGGTATGATAGTAAAAACTAGATTCGAGGCTAATCGAGCCTCTTGCTCGGCAGCAAATCTTGTTCATCCTCTAATCCCACCCAATAGCCATAATTAGTTTCAACTTAATTTCGTACACTGACTTCTTCTATTTGGGATATAGGCTGTTTCGTCGATTTCTATAGATTCTCAACTTTTCCGCTGGTATAGTCTTCATATCCACTCAGGTGTTTGCATATACCAGTCTTTCTAGAGTCTTGTACGAGCCATGTGTTCAGCTAATTCAGATTTTTTGGCCAACAAACCTTTGCAGACTCTTAATTATAGAGCGGTGCTGAACCGACCACAGCAATACTAGTATGTCAATGTCAAAACTTACTAGCAAATTCCACTTTCTATCTCCTGCTCATCGACTAAGTTAACGAATTCATAAGAATTTTTACTTGAAAACCTTTACGTCTTAGAGATTTGCCTTAACAGGGGCAAATAAATTGTGCTGTTTTAGGCATCATGTTACCCTTATTATTCACAATATTAATAAGTGCGACTCCTTTATGTATTTTGCGCAGATCATATGCATTCAGAGGCCTGACATTTCGCTGAAGAAGTGCGTTCGTCCTCCATTTATCCGGTTTCCCGTTTATCGCACACTGTTGCAAGCAACCCTTTAGTCTAGACTTAAGGATTTCTATATGAGCTCTGATGATTACTTGATATATTTTAGTATCATCTAGTGCCTGTATCATTTTTTATACATATTTAACCTATCCATAACAACTACTGCTCTTTTTGTGCCCTCGGCCCTGGTCCCTTATGATGAGTTTCACTCTCATATTACTAGGCTGTGTATCTACATTGTTGTCATTTAAAGGGACGACCTGTAATTCAATATCACTTTTAGTTTCTTCTGGGAAATGGTCGATAAAAGTCATGATTTCTATCGGTATCTCCCCGATATTATACTTAATGTTTGGAAAAGCAAGCTAAAACCTTTTGAGAAAACTTGCTCGGTGGTAACGTCCAATACTGTTTCAAACAGGTTTACCATCTCATCAACTATTCTTTGCTCACCAACTTCTTCCCTTAACCTACTCCGAATGCCCTTTGTCTTGATTCTTATCTTCTAATTTCTAAGTTGCTTACCATGCCTCTATCTTACCTTTTGTAAAACTCCATCATCTAGCTCGTCCGCCATTATCTGGTTTTCTTCTTTTACAAAGAGTCTAATTTTATTATTTTTCGTTTATAAGTTGGTTTTCGAGACTACAGTCATACATATGTATACATATATATAAGTTTATTTTGTTTTTTTGAGTCATAACATTACCTGAACATGGTATGTGCTCTAACGAACTCGCCTAGTTATATTAAGCAAATTTGGCTTATCATTCATACAAAATAAAGGAACAACCCTACGTGACCAGCATAGTTTTGGAAAAACGAATATGCTTAAGTTCGGCTAAGATTTTCTACATCAGTCATCAATTGTCTTGCTGTGGATTTTGTTAATGAATCTCTTTGACTGTCATTCAAAATAGGAAGGCTTAGTCAATGCGACCACGCGATCTATTTTTTACAACCAATCTCTTAACTACAGCATATTGGAGTATAAAACTATTCGTTCAAAACCTATAATGTCATTAATATTCAAACAACAGTATTACAATTTTTAGGCTCTGTTTCGATTCCAATTTATTGCTATTAACTCATTTTCTCACTGAATCTCTTCTTCGTATGTGCATGACTAAGTTTCATCGTCGACTTGTTTCGAATGCCTTGATTTCGGGTGATTTTGCATACGATGCAAAGTAGGCTTTATAATCAATTTGAAAATGGTTAGATCATTCTTTATATCGAATAAAAAACTTTAACAGATTACGAATCATTCAAACCATCTTGTCTTGTAACATAGCTTGATAATACATTTGTTGGGCGCCATTTATATCATAGTATATAGATTTGCTTATCTTTGTGGTCACCATTTATTTGGTTCCAATTTCACTGGTTCTGTCTGTCAATCTGATTTTTTGTCCGCATATTATTCTGTATTGTTATAAGCTTTTACTCTGCATCGATAAATTTTGTTATGCCTTGAGATTTTCATACTGAATGTATAACTGCATATATATATACAGTAACCGATTCCCTAGCCGATCTTTCTGCCCGAACTACTTTTGATAATTTATTCCTTATGAACAAAAACTGGGTTTCGAAGAATTCCTTAGTGAAATATTATGCCATGACTCTCCATTTCGAAGGAAAAGTTGATTGAGAGGAATTCGTGATGTGGTCTCACCGGAAACCGAAGGAGGATCGTAGCGTATGGAAGACTGTTGAATTGTGCGAAGAAGTCCTCGGCTCACCGTCCTGCGACCCCGATGAAACTGTGCTAAGCTTTCATCTGTAGTGTCACACATGATCAGAATAAGATTCTATACTTTACGAGATAGAGCAAAAATATACTAAATCAAGAGAAAGATGTGGCCGGCTGCAACCCTAATCACTTTTTTTACACGCCTAACATCGCGACCTTATTGAGGCCGCTCATGATTTAGTTGGCAACTTCAACCTTACTCTACAAGTTTGCAAATGAGTGAAGTTAACTAGCCGAATCGGAAGTGCGTCTGCTGGAACCTGTTTCATTACACAAAAACTAGCGTACTATCGCCTACTTCTGAATCATGTTTAGGTTTGTGTTATTGTCTATTGTTTGTATTTAATGCACATGCTATACAAAGTATGATAGTCCTAGCTAGACAGGAGGCTAATTCAGCCTTCTACTCAGTGGCTCTTCCCTCTTTATCTTCCTTTCATCCAAAAGCCACAAAAAGTTCATACTCACTTTTCTACACTCGTTCATCCTATTCAGGACATTGGTTGTTTTGTTAATTTCTATAGACTCCCTAATCTTACGTTTTGACCTAAAGTCCCTGTAACCCGCAAAACGTTGCGTTTTGGACCAAATTCTGTATTGGTAATGTGTTCAGCGAGCTCAGATTTTTTGACCCACAGACCTTTACAAGTGGTCTTGTGTTCGCATAGTCTCTTATGAATAGGTCGGCAGGTCCCTCCCACACGTTACTACATGAGCACAAAACCTTGTAACAGTCTGATCTAGAAAGAGGGTCTGAATATTCTCTAAACGAAGGAACTACTGAAGAAAGTGTTAATTTCTTTACATTATATCTATGTTCTTGCTTTAGTGTTAAGGTAAGATTTTTGCAAGAATGACACCCAGCTCTGATGATGTCAATCATATGATGGACGAAAGCTCAGCACGTTTTCACCCGAAGCGAGGGAGAAAGTCTCGTGGACTGCGTCAACATAAATATCGTATAAAATCCAAACGGCTGAAGTACAACGAGATTCATCCGTCTTTATCTGGTGAGATCGACCAACGAGTCTCTTCTTCATCCACTTTCATCCGAAATAAAGAAGACTATTTCGTCTAAAATAAACAAGCTGAGACATGTTCGCGAGCCCTTATGTTGCCGTCATTCAGCTGGGTGCAAAGATCAGAAGTTGCCGAACATGTTGGAGAGATTGGTCATGAGAAAGAGTCGTCTCAGACAGGTAGATTTGCTGATTATTCTACGTCGGCTGTTAAGAGTTCG